CCCCCAATTCCCCAATAAAAATCTTAAAAATAAACAAAAAAAAACAAACCAAGAAATCCTGCAGATCCTGCACAGGGGCTGGGATTTTGCTTTGGTGCTTGGAAAGAGGCAGAAACCTTACCTTGACCTGGTCCAGCACCACGAGGGGCCCATTGACACTGCACACGGTCCTGTAGGCTGGAGAAAGGGCAGGTGGTGAGGGTCTCATACCTAGATACCCAGACACACACATCTCATACAGACACAACACACACACACACACACACACACACACCCTCTGCCTTCCCGTCCCTCCCTCTAAGCACCACCTCCACCCCCTCCTCAGCCTGGGCTGTCAGGGTCATTAGCTGTGACAGCGCCAGCCACCATTGCTGTAAGGGTCATGCCCCTGCCCGCAGGGCCCCTGCTGCCTTGGACACCTGCAGGAGGCTGGTGGGGGGCGGGGGGCAGGGCAAGGGCAGAGGTCCCTCAGAGTCCTCCCCTCCTTAGCCATGCAGAGGCCTTTCTCATCCCTGAGGCAGCTTCCCCTCTGGCCTCAGCCCCCCACTTACCCATTCCTACGTCTCTGACCCAGTGTTTTCCAGAAGCTTCTAGCCCCCATCTGTGGCTTAGAACTGTCCTCACCTGCCCCTCACCAGGACCACACTTCTCTCCATCACCCCACACTGACTGAACACTTTGGAGGAGGGGTGCTGGCATCAGTGAGAAAAACCAGGCAGCACTCCTGCTGTGCCATGAGGCTCCCAGACACCCCCGGCCCAGTGGGTGCCCCTGGGAAAGGGGAGAAAGTGACAAGGAAGGAGGAAGCAGCAGAAGGTCCCTGTCCTAGTGGCTGCTGAGACCGACACACAGGGAAATGAGCACCACTTACAGGGACACACTCCACCTCGGGCCCACCTGGCATTTTGATGAAATTCTCTGGATTGCTAGAACGGTGTGAAGCAGAGCAGAGCAGATGAGCCCCGCAGAAGAAGGCTGGAGAAGCAGGGAGAAGCACATGGATGGTGAGAACATGAGAATAAGCGTGGGGGTGGGGAGAGGGCTACATTGTAACAAGTCCCAGATGAGCTGGCATCTTGTTGGCCCCCGTAGAGAAAATGCCAGACTAGCCAAAAGGGTTGAGATGGCAGAAGAAAGATGCAGGGTGGATGGGCCTCATAGGGAAGCACATGTGTGAGAGGGAAAGCCCGGTTCCCCAGGTCCAGAAATCCCCAGGGAACCATGTCCAGTTCTGCTTGGGAGACAAGTCTTTCAGCTTCCTCACTGCGTGTACAGGGGCTCTCCCCACTTCACAGCTTCCATCATGCAAACTCCCCGTTAACCCTGACATCAAACAGCTCTACTTTGGGAGCCAGGGCACCCAAGGAGTGGGGGAGAGTGGTGATGGTGCTGGGCACAAAGAAGGCATCTGGACCTGTCCCCCACCTGCAGCCAGGAGGAGGGGCTGGTCTGATGGTGGAAGGCTAAGGGCTGGGGCAAATTGCTTGCCTGCAGCAGAACCAGGCCCTGGGCTGCCAGGTAATTCTCTGCGTCCCCCAGCCGAGCCCATGTGGATGACCAGCACAAGGTCTCTAAGTCCCCCATCTATCTCATCACACCAGCCTGGTCTGTAAGTCGCCTCCCAGGCTTCCAGCAGGCATGGTGCCTGGCTCTAGGTGGGCCTCATAAATAGTTGCTGAATGAAGACATTGCTCTATAGCCTGGCCCTTCGCTGCAGATAATCACTTACGTGGCTGCTTCGGTTCAGCATCCGGCTATTCCCCTCCTTCAAGGATGTGCACTTGACTGGCTACTGCAGCCCCCTGGGTTCTCTCCCCTCTGAAGTCCTGCAGGGCTCCAGGCTGGCACCCTCGGGGGCATCCTGTTCTCTGGCTTATCTGCTCTCTCCTTCACAGCACAGACTGTGTCTCTCCCCTCAGACTAGTGTGCCCCCCCCCCCATCAAACTAGACTATATCTTTTGTGAGACGCTGCCTGTTTTGGAAAGAGCCAAGGTGGTATCTGAGCAACAAAGGTGTCCTTGATTGGGAGCCAGGCCTTTTGTTTGGACCCACCCCCAACTCTATCCATTGTGTCCATTGCATGGAGTGGCAAACTGACGCCCAGAAAGTCGGCTGATTTCCCCTGGGGCACACCACAAATCAAGACAGTATCCTGTGACACTCAAGGAAATTGGCTATTACCCTAGCCCTGGGACACACCCTTGATCCTGGAGAGGTAAGGGTGGGGGTAGTGCTGGGCAGGGGCCTGAACCAGAAGGCCTCCGAGGGGCACTTCCTCAATAGGCCTCCCGGAGACTTTTCAGACTCTCTCTCTAGCTGCTCTGCCCACCCCCTCTCCATTGTCTTAGCTGACACTTTGGGTTGCACTTTGGGCTGCAGGCTGGTGGAGCCCCTCCCTGCCCCTCCCTCCCCACCGCCTTCCTGGTCAAAGACTCAGCAGGGGCTCCCGCGGCCCACTAATTAGGGCGGCCCAGCCACACCTGCAGCGTCCTGGGAGAGGGCTGAGGCCGGCTTGCCCATGCGTGAGGCCTGGGTGGGGGCAAGTCTGGGGCAGCAGGTCCTTCACCTCCTCCCTGATCCTGCTGAAGGGATTAGGGGAGGGGGTGGGAAAGGGGTTGGAAGCCAAGGGGTCTTAGAAATCAGCCCGAGATCCAGCTGGCGGGAACTTCCTGAGGCAGCCAGTGGTGTGGCATTCAAGCCCCTGGGCGATCTGACCTGACTCCATCCCTCCAGCCAGGCTGCCAGCCTGTCCAACCTAACCTTTGCTCATGCATGTGTCCCATACCCCTCACCCTGTCAGCCTAGCAACTTCTGCCCCACATGACCAGCTCCATGCCACCTCCTCCCCGTGGGGAACAACTCTAGCTCTGAGGGAGGCAAAGGGGTCCCTTCTTTCCTGGGGTAGATATTGCTGGGGTTCACTCCCCATCCTGATTCTATCCCACTCGCTCCTTTCTAGCCCATTCCCTCCCCACTGCAGTGCTTCAGGCCGGTTTAATCCACCTCCTCCTCCAGGAAGCTTTCTCCTGGCCACGGGAGGCCTGGGGCTGGGAGCTAGCTGCCCTCCTCCTAGGCGCTTCCTGTCTCTACACAAAGTTCTCCTGCCTGGAAGTGCTTAGAAGCCCCAGTAGGAGGCCAGGCTGGGGGAGCAGGGCAGAGAGGGACACAGCAGTCCTGCCTCCCGCTTGAGGGCAGCAGCTCGGGTTTTGCACCTGTTGGTGCTCTGTGCCCCAATGGGGAGAAACCCCCCAGGCACCTGAGGAGGAAAGAGGGGAACTTGGTGAAAGCTGCAGGTGTGGAAGCACACTGAGGACTCCAGCTCAGGGGTGGGAGAGTGTCAGGCCTGGGCTGTGGCTGGCCCCTGGCTGTATCCTAGGAGGCTGTATCCTGCGAGGACACAGGTGTGCAGAAAAAGCAAAGGTCTTTTGTCTTGGCAATACCATCTTTAATACAGCCATGGAGCCGGAAGGGGCTGCCCCTGCACTAACCTTTGTCTCTGGGTCAGCTGTTGTGTGTGAACAACACACTTGCAAACATGGTGGTGCTGCCACCCCTGAGTTCCAGCGGAGGACAAACCTAGGGTGTTTGACTCAGGACTTGTTGACTATAAATAAGGGACTGACTGGGAAGGAACCGGATGGAGGGGGCTCTGAGGTGAGGTTGCACCCTGCAGGGTTCCTGGGAGGGCACATTCCAGGGAGAAGGAAAGCAAAGCATGTAGGTCCAGACTGCCAATCCCACACCCCACCCGGCACTGAGAACCTTGGGAATGCTCCTGTTCCCACAGGGAAGAAGGATGATGGGGAGGAGCCTGCAGGGGGAGGCCAGCACCCGGGATGGACAAGAGTCAGCCCGCTCTGTTCAGGTCTCCAAGCCTGGGCTCTGGACCCAAGGGGAACACAGACAGCATATTTCTGGACCTTGGTGACCCCCACTTTGCCCCAGGGGTGAATCTGGGCCTCCATCCTCTCTGCACCTCCACAGGGCAGGGCCTGCAGGGCCACCTTGATCAACCTGACACCACACCTCTGGGTTTCTCTTTAGCTGGAATGTACTCCACCCCTCAGTGCCTGCTTGGGCCTCAGGAGGTGCCTCACACCCCCTGGGCTCCTCTTAGAGGGCAGACCCAGCTCTCAGCTACCCTCTCAGGCCATTCCTCCTCTCTCCATTGAACTGTGTAACTACAGAGGGAGTGAGAGGGACCGTGCTAGGCCAGCTTTCCCCCATACACTCCCTGTTAGGAGCCTCTGCGTGTGTTTAGCTAGTGCTGGCCAAGCCGGTTTACTCCAGTGAGCAGGGCTGTCTGAGAATTCTAGAATTCGCCAGGCTGGGGAGAGTGACCTTGAACAAAGAGAGATGGCAGGGGTAGAGGGGCTCCCTTTGGTGAAGGCCTTACTGGGTTCTCTGCCCCAAACACCTGGATTTGGCCCACCCCTGCAGGACAGGTACTCAAGCCACCCCAGGGACGCCCCCCTCTGAAGCTTACAAGGGTACACTCCAGCACACACACCTCTGTACCTGAATGCCAGGCACTCGCCCTCCCCCTAACCTTACACACACAGACATGTGACATCACCTGACTGCACACTCACCGTATTCTACCCATGAGCATGCATGCTTGAGCGCATGCGTGCACACACGCCCTTACCCTGTGTGTATAAGCGTGCACACAGTTACACGTTTCCTCACGCTGATCCCACACACTCAAGCTGTCACACACATATTCACACATATCCTTACCCAAGTGGAAGTGGGAGCGCACACACACACACCCAGGTACATGCTTTCCCCTGGTTATGCATACACACCCTCCCCCAGAACGCACACACAAGACATGACATGACACACACAGTGTCGCCTATTGTATTTCCTCATCCTGAGAATGCACACATACTCTGTATTGCCACACATCCCCCAAGAACACTTGATCATCCATTTCCTCATGCTGAGTGTTCTGGTTTACACATGCACATACCCCAAACACACATACTCAGAACGCACACATGCACTCAAACACACATACCCTTAGGGGCAGTTGGGGGCTCTCTCTGGGCTTGGGGTCTCCGTGCAGGATCAGAGTGGTGGCAGGGCGTTTCCTGCAACTACTTAGCTGCTCTCTCCTCTGGGGTAGCCTGGACTGGGGAACCCTCATCTCGCCTCCTGCAGAGGTGGCTCATTATCCAAGTGGCCAAAAGCATCCCTCCACTGGACCTAGAGCCCCACACGTCTCCTCAAGTCTTGGGTCCTCCTCTTTCCCTGAGGCTAAAAAGCAGCGCCTGAGGACCAGCAGCCCACCCCAACCTCACTCATTGGGGATCGTACTCACTGACACGGGGGTGGGTGATGTAGTTTCGGGTGACTGCCTGCATGTGCTCACGGGCTGGGCCCAGGTCGCAGCCAATGCCGGGGAGCCCCGCAGGCCTGCTCTCCACCTTCGTGGCCATGGTGAACTGTTAGGCTGGGAGCAGAGCGCCTGAGCCTGCTGAAGCAGGTCCGACACTCCAACTCCAAGCCCAACTGGAGCTGGGGCGAACTGACCGGCCTGCCCCTGCGGCCACTCCTCCCCTCTTGTCTCCTCTCCTCCCCCTAGCTGAGTGTAAACAGGGAAGCCGGGTTTCCTGGAGCTCTTCCAGGTCTGGGAGGTGCCCTGGGCCACCTGGAACAGGAGGATGGGGGATGGGAGGGGCGGAAGGGTCGGCATGCTTCTCTCTGTTCGCGGTTGCTCCTCTGCCCCCAATCTGCAGCCAGTGTGAACTCAGTTCCTCCCCCTGCAACTTCAGGTGCTCTCACAGACCCATGCCCCTTACCACATCTCTTCCTGGTCACCCTCCCCCCTAATCCCTGGCACGCTCTCCTCAGATCTTCACCTCACTGTCCCCACAACCTGCCCTCACACGGCACCTCTTACCCTGACCATACCCTGGTACTTCTTCGCCTGCACAATTCCATCATCACCTTTTTTTGAACATCTATAGAGGATCGTTCTTGGGCCAGCTTCAGTGCCACCTCCTACAGGAAGCCTTCCCTGGGTCCTCCAGCACCCTGGATTCACCACACACCTGGTCTCGTTCTTATGTCATGCCCTTGAAGGAGACCAAAGTTGTGCCACCCTAAAGCTGCCTTTTGGGATATTGATTTTAACCTGGTTGTTAAGAAACAAAAGACTCAGAAGGAACCTTTGACCCTCCCCCCCTTTCCTGCCTAAGTGGTCAGATGAAAAAACCTGCTTCAGGAAGGGAACCTTAGCATAATCACCTTAGCCATTAGACAGGAAAACTCCAAGCAGGAGCCCCACCCATCCCATTGTTTTCTGAGTTGCATAACAAAAATTTACCTGTCATGTATGTTTCACTTTTCCCCAATTACCTGCAAATCACCCCTTCTTACTTTTAAAATCTTAGACCCAAGTCCCCCCTTTTCTCTTTTGTCCAAAATGATATATACATAGCCATTTTTTCCCTGTCTTTGGAGTATTCATGCTTACATGAATTCCCCGTGAGTACATATTAAAATTTGATTTTCTCCTGTTAATCTGTCTGTTAATTTGATTATTAGCCCAGCTAAAAGAACTTAGAAGATGGGAGGAAAAGTTTGTTTTTTTTCCTTTAGCCCTCACACCCTTTTGGAGAATTCTCTTTTGTTGCCCCCCACTGGTGTGTGAGGCCCCCAGAGCTGAGCTTGTGTCTCCTCCGTCAGACTTGGGTTCCTTAGGCCTTTCTGTGTCATAGTGTTCAGAGCTCCCTGAGTGACAGGGCAGGTCTCTCGCCATCTGATCACAGGCCCCTGTCTCACCTTCTTATATTTCACCTCCAGGGTTCCATGTAGCAGGCCTCCCCTGACATTTTCAGCGCAGGGGTGGAAGTACAAATGGAGGAACTTTTTTTTTGTGCCTAAAGGAGTTGTGCTTTCTTTCCCCTGGGCCAGCAGAGTGTCGCACAGGTCTGCTGGGCAAGGCAGGGGGGACACTGGGTGGTGGCTGGACCCGCCCAACCCAAAGCCTGCCCTGGTCACCCACACGTCTCATTCCAGACTCAGGATTTCCCTCCCAGCACCCCATTCTGGGTGACTCAGGGCAGCCAATTTGAAAGCAAATAAATATATGTTTTCCAGAGCAGACTGGAACAGACTGTTTCCCCCCACAGAGTCCAAATTTTAGCCTGCATCCTCTGGCCCAAGGACCCAGTTCAGGTCTCTGGTCCTTCTCTCACAATCCCCATTCTTTCAAAGAACTCTTCAAGGGCTGAGGCAGGGGTAGGTGTGACTATAAAGGGGTAACCCGGAGAGAACTTTGTGATGACAGACAGTTCTGATTCTTGATGGCAGTGGTGGTTCCACGAAATTACATGGAACTACACACACACACACACACACACACACACACACACACACGGTACCAATGTCAGTTTCCTAGATTTGATATTATGCCACAGTTAACGGAAGATTCAACCATTGGGGGAAACTGAGTGAAGGATACAGGAATTGTCTGGACTATCTTTGCACTTGCTATAAATCTACAGTTTTTACAAAATAAAAAGTTAAATAAACATTTCTTATTTGAGCAAAGAAAATGTTGAAGTGCTTCATATTGCTGTGTCTGTGATGGGCAGGCCCTCTAAAGCAGGTGCGGTCTCACCTGGGTTTACCTTGGACGCCCTCCCTCAGACTCTCTGGATCCACCCCTCTTCCCCCTCAGGTATTTTTATATTTGAAAGACGACCTTGCAAAGGGCAATGCTTAACCCACAAAAGCATCGATGTTGCTACCATGGGCCTGTGAATGCCGGATGCGAGCTCTAACTGGGAGAGGAAGTCAGGAACCCCGATCCCCCCATAACTGTGAACATGGTCCCAGTTTCTGCCCCCCCTCCCCATGAGAGGTCCCCGGACCTTAAAGCATTTACCTTCCCACTGAGGAGAGGGATACAGGGGCCGTGGTGGTGCTGTGGGGACTCCATTTCCCTTGTTGTCATTGTTCTTTTATTTCAGTGAGAGGCACACGCACGCACACTGCACTCACACACATGACCAAGGCTGTCTGGTCCTGAGCGAGTCTCTGAACTGGGGACGGGTGCATGTGGGTGCCCACCTCTGGGCCTGGGAGGCGGGGACGGTGTTGTGCTTGGGAACAAAGTGTCACATGGGGATGGAGCCTTAAATTAAGCATTAGCTTTTTTGGCCCCACCAGGGCTGCCCACTCTCCATTCTAGCCGACTGTAGGGCCTGCTGTAGGGCTCAAAGGCCGAGGAGCCCAGTTCATAGCCCGCAGGCAGGTCCAGGAGTGGGGCAGCTGAAAAGCAGAGAGAAGGAGGTGGGGGTGGCAGCTGGGGGGGCCCAGAGGCCGACGTCAGCGGGTTGAGGTGCGAGGAGTTCCTGGGGTCACCCAAGGAGGTGCCCCTGTGGCCGGCAGGCAAGCTCAACAGGCCGGGAGTCAGCGCCAAGAGGCTGGGGGCCCTGGGCACAGACAGCAGCCGGCCCTGCTCCAGCAGCCGCAGGATGTTGGAGGTGGCGAAGGCTTCTGACACTGAGGAAGACACCCGTTTCTCCAGGTCTCTGCTCTGGTCTTTCTTCTGTTTGGTGCGGCGGTTCTGGAACCAGACCTTCACCTTGGGGTAGAGGGGGACAGGGTGTCAGGAAGGGAGAGGGGACAGGCAAAGTAAACAAGTAAACGGGGCAGGTGGGAGAAGAAAAGGACAGGAAGGGCATGGGGTGTAGGGGTGTGGGGAGTGGGGGAGCAAGGGTGGAGTGAGAGGGGAAAGAAGGGCCTTCAGATTGTCATTAAGGTCTTCCCACAACCAGCCAGCTCTGGGCAAACTGACAAGGGACACTGCCCCCCGCCCCCCCA